CAAGAATAATATTATTATAGAAAAGCAGTGTTGGGAAGTAGCGCGCTACAAGTAGCAACGCTACAGTAGCGCGCTACTTTTTTTGTAGCATTAGCTGTAGCTACGCTACTTTTAAGATTTTGTAGCTTTAGCTGTAGCTAGCTACATTTTTAAAGTAGTTGTAGCGGAATTTTAGCTACTTTTCTCGCTACATTAACATTGTTTGAGATAGTGATTTTTATCATAACCTCAACCGTACGTGAAACAACCTCTTTCAAACTGAGATTTTCAAAAAAATTAGGCCTACTTTCTTGGCTTCATACAACTGGTTGCAGCCGTTTCATTCCCTATTACAATGTTGTGTGGACATGGAGGCCATTATCTGAGTGTTATCCACATTTTTGGCTCTCATTTCCTTAATTTACTACTCTATGATTACTGTCAGATAAAATAAAATCGCTAGTTGCAGACGACGTTTAAACGTTACCGGTGACAAGAGAAGCTATTGAATGCTTGTAAGTGATTAACAGGGAAATTAGTAATCAATTTAGTTTCTTTATTATATTGATAGTGTTGTTTCAACTTGGGTTTTAATGGAAACCAAGACTAAACTTTAAAATAATGAGAAAGCTGGTTCTAGCTTCAGCTGTTGATTGTGGTTCATCATCACAAGCCCTTCCTTGGTTAGATTACAAAGATTTTTCAAAGATTTACTAGATTAACAAAGAGGAAATTACCTGATGAGATTTAAGATATGCCTAGACTACATGATAATTGTAACTTAACGAAAAAATCTCCATATAACATGAAACTTAGATTGAAAAAATAGCATAGTTTGCTCCTGCTAACAGCTCTTGTATAGGACTATTCCTAGGCTATGCTATGATTTAAGACGAATACCAAGTTCCAAGTTCAATTATTAGGAATATAAATGTTAAGTCCTTGAAAGAACAAGCCTACTATAGCCAACTTGTTACATAGCCAAAAGTAGGCCTACATGTTATTTTTACTTTACAAATTTTAACATTTTTAAATCAAAAGCCGATTTCAGAATAAGTTGCTGAATACTGTTTTCTGTACCAACTAGGTTGAAGCACAATTGTCCTATGCATAATGACAATAAAGGACGATTTATTGACATTGAAAAGTGTTATTCATAGAACAAGTAACTTATCACTATGGTTAAAAGTTATAGCAATGTCGTTTTTAACATTAAATGTAAAAAAGGAATTAAACTCCAATTTCAGTAGGCTAGGCTCTGTAACACAAAAAAGTATTTTTAAATAATAGTTTTACAGTTTTATTGGTCTTAATTGTTGATATGAGACATCTATAAATTAATCTATATTAAAGAAATAAAATGAGCTTTTAAAATATAGTTTTTTTGTATGTCCTTTGAACTTAATGAAATTTACATATAAGATGCTTAAAAATGATGCAATATTTAAAAATAAGTACTAAATATGATGGGTCACCCAACTATTTGGTTCTGTTGTTGTAATTTTAGGTTTATAATGCCAACAAATTAAATACAATCTAGGAATAATTTGTTTTCCAAGTAATGTTAGATACAATACTGACATTTTTTGTTTCAATGTTTGTTCAATAAAAAGGTAGTTGCAATTAATTTTACGTTTACCTAATGTGCGTGGAATAAAAAGTAACGTCTTTGGAAAAGTAGCTAAAATTGTAGCTATAGCTACATTTCATTGTAGCTGTAGTTGTAGCTAGCTACTTTTTCGGAACTGTAGCTGTAGCTGTAGCTAAGCTACTTTTTTGGAAATGTAGCAGTAGTTGTAGCTAGCTACATTTTAAAAGTAGCTTCCCCAACACTGTAGAAAAGTAAATAAAATCATATGGTTAAATATTAGTTAAATAAGCATAGAGGTTAAACACAGGATAATACTAAAACTAAGAAATAACAAAAATGTCTTACTAAAATATTAATCTAACTTAACGTCCCTATTTAAATAACATTCGATAGAAAATTTTTTTTGTTTTTAGCCAGGTCTTTAGGGTGGATCTGAACTGTGGATTAGGCCTACTATCAATATTTTTTATGCAGAGTGGTAACTTATTGTAAACTTGTGGGCCTATATATTGGGGAGATAAATTAAATTTCTCTAATCTATGGGTTTCAGGCTTAATATAACTCTTAAATCTAGTGTGATGGGAATGAAAGGGTTGGGTCATGAATGAGGACAGATTGTCTTTAACTCAATTTGAAATTTCTAAAATATAGTGAACATAAAATGTTTAAACTGAAAATGTTTGAAAAAGACTTTTACAAGGAGTTCTACGAGGAACTCGCCCAATAATTCTAATTGCTTTTTGTTGAAGTTTAAACATTTTGAAGTTCATTGTTGGTGATGGTGAGTTAATGTTGTTCAAAGTAAATATTTTGACATTTACTTTGATAAATATTTTGTTGTTTTATACTCTTTATTTAAATATTTTGTTGGAGCGGCATGAGTTTCCCCAAACCAGAATACCATATGTCATTATTGAAGAGAAATAAGCATGATAAACTGTAAGCTGAGTCTTGAAGTTAACAGCTTGTCTGATTGCGCGAAGAGAGAAAATACAGTGGTTTAATCGTTTGATCAAATTAATAACTTGTTATTTCCAGTTAAGATTTTCATTGACAGTTATACCTAAAAATTCACATTTTGCTGCAGTGGCATTTTAGATTTTGATGTTGTAATTTTATCTGTTTAATATTGATTGTTATTAGAACTAAACTCTATAAGCTGAGTTTTATCATCAGTCATAACCAACCCATTTACCTGGAACCAGTCTCTGAGAGCTTGTACCTTATGTAAGTGATATTACCCCTAGACCAATTAATTAATTACAAGGGAAAATGTGGTTCGGATTCCACTATAAACTGTAGGTCCCTTAGTTGCCATTAGCTCTATGGCCTATTGTCTGGGGTGCACAATAATTCAATTTCGGATGAAGTGCTTTAGGGTCTTGACCTGCCCCTGTTAGATAAGATAAGATAAGATGGGCTATTAATTAACAGCTGTGTCTAAGGAATATGTCGGCCTTAGTCACTAACAAGACTACAAGATCGCGCCACTAATCCTTAACTCATATTTGGGTTAAAATACGCACATAGTGGCGTCCCCATCTTAAATAATTGATAATTGATAGGTCTAGGCCAAAGTAATATAAAAAACAATTCCGGGCTCGTGCCTAACGTCCTAGAAAAAAATAAATAAATAAATAAAATAATGATCGCGGCAAAATTGTGACTACTTCCCATATTCATGGGTTACATTATAATAGTTTATACCGATATTGCAGCCAAACCTATGACATCATCAGCTGAGATAACAACATTAACTTATCGTCTCCTGCGCTCATGGCCCAATCCCTAATATCTCGTGTGACCCGTGGTGACGGGGAAATAATTTTTCCGCAATCGCGGCAAAATCCTAGATAGATCTCTTACGGAAAAAGAAACGTTACTATTCTTTTTCGCAATTGCGGCAAAATATTGTACATCTCCAGCGGCCGTGTAAACATCGTCATCATGACCTCGCAGGGAAATGTTCTCGTCAATTTCCGCGATCACGGCAAAAGCGTAGGCCTAATCTTTCAAATTCGAGAGCGTGATCCTTGCGGACATAACAAATGTTATTTTTAATTGGGCAATATTGTATTGAGTACTGAGAAAATCAGCTCGAGCTTGATTTTTTGACTTTGGGCTTGATCTCTCAAGCCAGGCTAGGCTCTGCTCGGCTCGAAAATCGACAACATATATAAATCAACCCCATAGGTAAGTAACATTTTTTACCTGACTCGAAGTAAACAAATCTAAAGTGCAGCCACCTGATAGTAAGAAATGAAATTAATTTAAAATACTTCTTTAGCTTCCATGAAAGAATGGAAGGTTTTATTAGCTAACTTAGTAGTACCTAGGTTAATTCGCCGATTTATCGTAAAAAAATGTCAAGTTCATTTAGTTGAATCAGCATAGAGGGCTCTCTCTGGTGTGACCCGCCTTAGGCTATTACTGAAAAGGCAACTCACCTCCCTGTACTTATTCCGGTGCTCTTGTCGAGCCTGCGTTTGGCTTGAGGCATAGCGTGTGAGTTATGAGCTCTAGCAAGCTCGGGTGTATTACCAATAGCCCATCCCTTATTTTCTGGACACATACCATGAGTGTGAGCTTTAAGTCGGCTCAAAGTACTGCCTAGATGGATGTTATGGCAATTCAAAAGTACAGACAAGAGGGAATGAGTGGCACAACTATTAGGTACCATTTGTTGAGCAAAAAATATGTTATTGACGATTTCTTCATCTTTTACATAAATGTCACTTTGATCAACGACTTTCCTCCTTGATCTTCTTTCCTCAATCCAGCGAAAAAGGAATATAAATCCATAAACTGGACTATCCAGGGATTTTTGTAGGTCGTATATTTCTTCTACTTGCACACCTTTAACTCCAAAATCTTCTAAGAGCAATGTGAACAATCCTGGATCACTTTCTAATTCCAACCAACCTTCAGTGAGTCTGTTAATATCGACCGGCATTATTAAATAAATAATACAAATTTGTCGATTCTACAAATCAATTAATAGTTTATAATGATAAAACGGTAAACTTAGTAACCTAGTCCTAGGGTAGATCATTACGAGTATCAGTATCAGTATCAGTATCAGGAATCAGGATCAGGCGAGAGCGAACTGCGAGAATGGAATGGAAAAATGGAATGGATGGAGATGGAATGGAATATGACTAGGACTGGACTAGACTAGACTATGATGACTGCGACGAGGACGCGAGACGAGACTACTGTGACTGTGAGTAGTGACACTGCACTGCACTGAGTTAGTTGAGTGGAGTGAGTACACTGACTACTACTGGTACTGGACTGACATTTGACACTTCTTGGACTGAATGGATGGATAGATTTTGTTTGAAGGGAAGGGAATGTAATGAACAGATCAACAGAAGAACAGAGGAATGGAATAATGACGAAATGTGAACGTTTTGTTGGTTAGGGTTAGGTTTGTTTGTTTGAGTTTGAACTTGAATACCTGTTCCTGTTGTTTGTAGATCAGTATGTTGACGATTAAAAATATATCTTACGATCATTGATTTAGTAACTATTGGTGATAATCAAATGCGTGTACTACATTTGGTATGTATGATTAGCAGAATGTGAGGGGTTTCATTACCGGTGTGTGCATCGCTTAAGGCCCCTATTACACGAGGTAGCCTGGCGACGTCGCCAGCAGTGTTTCCATCCGCAAGAAAAAAATATCCCTGGGCCAACGTCAAAAAATCCCTAGTTATCCCTAGTCCGTGTTCTAATAATCCCTCCAATTATCCCTCTTCATCAAATCTAGATAACTTATTATTTTTGCAGCAATACCAATGGATATCATGTATAGCCACCTAAAATATGGTAACTGGTGATATTATTCTTCAATATCCCATATTATTTATAAAGTGATACTATACAAAAAAATTTTTGCACCATTAAAACCACGGCCAACTTTAACCACTGAGCTATAATAATAATCTTTAACTCCAGGCAGGCCGCGGCCTGGTAGAATTGGCAACGTTGCAAGTACCGCAGTATTGTTTAGCGCCAGACGTCCCATAAGTTAACATGGAAATAAAACATAATATATAATCGAAAACCAAAACAATATAAATTGAAAATCTATTTCTGTACATTCAATGTGGAGTCAACATTTCCAAAGCCCAGTAACCAAGCTTTCGTATTCTTAAAAAATACATAAATATCATTAGCTTAGTGTTCTCCAAACAAACAGCTATACTTGAAAACGTTGCCATTTCGAAGGCTGCGGCCTCCGGCCTGGAATTAAAGGTAGCCGTGATTAAACTGTCTATGTGGTAAAAAACAAGATTAATTAACTAAAAAATGAAACAAATAGTTATTAATTTTAGAAACTAATAATTTTCATTTATAAGTATTTAAAATTGTTTCAAAAATATTCCTCAAGTGTCCAAATTTCAAACTTAATAGTCTTTTTCAGACATGGCCACCATGCCTTGGTGAAAAGGTTACACCAAGTTACTTACTAACCAAAAAAACAAAATCACCGGCAAACAAAATCAAAACGAAAACAAACATTCGACATTGACACAGGGCACAGGGCTACTAAAAAACAAAAATACAGTAATCTAGATCCTCCATTCCAATCTCTAGCCCTGTTCCATTCCACCGACCGACTCCAGTCCTCCGCTTGTTTCGTGCAGTGTTGGATGTTACTCTTCCTATTGTGTGTACCGACTTTGAAAAATTAGCCTTGCAAAATTAGCCAAAATAGGTCCTTAACGTTGTTGAAATACAGCCATAATGTATTATTTTATCAATACTTAAATTTTATAATGGTAAAGGCCTAAAATCCCTAGAAAATCTAAAAAATCCTTCAATTTCGCTGATTATCCCTAGTTATCCCTCAATCCCTTTTCAATCCCTCGAAGGCCCTAAATATCCCTAGAAAGGGATTTTTATCCCTCAAATGGAAACACTGGTCGCCAGCGGCAGTAGCTGGCGACGCACTGGCCACCAACCCTATAACCAGTTGAGTAGCCAGTTGAGTAGCCAGAATTTTACCGCCGTGGTGCCGTTGTTGTGAGTGCTTGTCTTGCACTTGTACTTGTTATGAGCGGTGTTTACAGTGAATAATGAGTGATTATAAGTATCTTCTCCTTCTGTTACTTCTGAAGAAAAGGAGGCAAAGGAAGAGAAAAATGTACGTTCATCCAATGCTTAGTGCAAGAGAATCAAAAGGGTTATATTACACCCTTTTTGATGAGCTCTGTGCGGACAATAAAAAATGTTTCAATTATTTTCGTATGTCACAATCCAGTTTCTTCGAGTCATAAAGGATGATATAAGTTAGACATTTTATCAACTGAAGTGAACAATTCACACACTCACAACACAACAGAACGCAACACAACAGTGTGCAAGTATCCCCGTGATATGAACTAACCGAGTGGCGACGTGATACTGGCGACCTAGTGTAATAAGCTCCATATGCTACAACGCAGCGTCGCCAATATGGGTAGCCAGTGGCTACCACAGTGGCGACGGGGCTCGGTAGCCAGTCGGTCGCCAAAGTGTGGCTGCGTCGCTGGCTACCCTCGTGTAATAACATCCATAAGAATCAATGCCCCATGACAAGCTGAGTAGCCAGTTTGGTCGCTGGCGACGTCGCCAGGCTACCTCGTGTAATAGGGGCCTAAGAGATAGATCAACAGAAACCATTAGGTTATGCTTAGGCCCGTTTTATCAATTAATTGCATCATCTCTTTTACTTAAAAGTGTCAGATCTAGGCTAGGCCATCAACACTTTTATTTGTACATGCCGCTAAAAAATGTATGTAGAAATGTCAACTAGAGTAACAAAATTAATTGTTGTTTACCAACATTAAGTAAGTCAGGCCTAGGCCTAGGCCACTCTTGATCTGCTACTTGCCAAGGTTTCCGGTTTATTGTCTGTGCCTCACAGCCCCATGAAATGACTAGTCTGGAACATGTTCTTAACACGTTTGCTGCGGCACATCAAGTAGCAGGCGTAGCCTCAGTGCGGCGCAGCCCGCAGCGTTGAACAAACCCGATTGCCGGGTGATTGGCTTTCATATTTTGGTATGACGAATATCAACCAAGAGTCGACGTAGTTTGCTAAACACCCACAGTACTTAGATGCCATTATTTAACAATAATACACACTTATAACTTATAGCACAAAATTACAGTTAACAAACGTAATGAGTGAGTCAAAATCCACCAGGTATAGTTTCGGAACGAGTAACGATAATTACAAACGAAGTGCTCCACAAAACTACCACTGTCATACACGAAGCACGGACAAAAATACTCCGACCTACATCGGAGTGCGGCGGCTGCACTCACTGAATAAGTTTGGCGGGTTCACACTACCGCCCGGGCGGTAACACACACGCAATGTGTTAATCAATTCGGCAAATCTTAGCCTACTAATAGGCCTATTATAAATGTGAAAGTTTGTTTATTTATTTGTTTGTTTGAAGTTCAATCACGGATATTACATCTACAATGCGATATCGTGTAATTTTTAGATGTCTACTTACAGTATTTTTCACGCTGAATCCAAAAATGCAATCATTTTTTGTCGGATAGATTCATAAGTGGCCGTAAAACGAAGGTTTAAATTACGAATCTATGCAGGGTGTCCACATTCGGGAAAGTCATGGAAAAAAATTCTGGTCATTGAAAGTCATGGAAATAGGCAAAAAGTCATGGAAATCCCCAATAAGTTAATGGATGGATTTGACAGGACTTAATGCTCTAGTCGGCCGCAACGCCGATTATTTAGCATATAAATTCACAACAATTAAATTTATTACAGCTTAGAACACAAATATTATTACAACTCAAATTGCAATAAGTTACAAATATTGTTATAATCCAACCAGAATGTAAAGGTACCTAGATTGACAGATAAGCCTATATCCGTCCATAGCCCAGGAAGGGTTGGAGAATTACTGATTCTAGGCTGTAAGAGGTGGAGGCTACTTTGCTGTGGTCGGTATTTTAGCCGATTGCTTTCTCTCATGATAGGTCTTACATGGTTACAAAAATTGTCTAAACTTACTTCAATAATTTGGGTTTTACAATACCTGACAGCAGTTTCAAGTATTTAGTCAATAGGCTATTTCAGTTCCCGGGCTAACTTACTGCAGTTGTTTTCACAATGGACTTTAGTTGTAACTAACTAAACTGTATGGCCTAAAGATGCAATGTGTGGAACTTTGGACCCTGAATGTATTTCAGACAAATTTTATTATTAAAACAATCCTTGCCTATCTTTGCAGTACATTACCTTGAACCTAATCTTATTTACCTTATCATCTGTTGTAAATTTTCAGTTAATTCGCCTCTCAAATTATACGTTAATTAATTGAATGTTCAAAACCCTGTCAAGATGAAGTGTTCAATATCAGGATGTCCAAATATCTATGACAAAAAGAACAGCACTGTTTCTTTTCACAAGTAAGTATAAAAATATAAAATTTAGCAGTTTTGCAAGATAGCTACTTTTTATATCAAATAGGCTACAAGTTAAGCTTACCTATCTTAATTTTGGAAACAAATTTATGAGTCATAAACACAATTGAAAATGGTAAAAGTAAAACATTTAAAATCTAGGTAAGTACAAATTTCTCAAAAACTCTGGCTTTAAAATGGTTTAAAAAATTCCCTGCACCAAACTGTTGGTTAAATCAGGGACCATTTTAGCGTTGTGCCGCCTCTAGGCTGCATGAACCCTAACTGGTGTGATCTTGTGGAGAGTTCAGATATGCAGGTAAACATCAGACAATTCAGAATGCAGAAATTTATACATTAATAAATGAGAATAAGAGTGATGAGTAAGGTAATATAATTTGTTTATTTGGAAAGACAGCTAAATTCCAGAGCATAACACAAGCAGGGCCAGTTTAAAACATGTAAGGACGTAACAAGGAGACTCCACGCTCATATAAAATGGCCAAGAGGTTAAGATCATAAAATATTATAATCCCGGGATCAATCCCGAGATCGGCTTGGACAAATCCCGAAATCCTGGGATTGGAACCTCTACACGCAAACCCCTATATACAAGTGGAAACTCAAGCTTAAACAGTCATTGAATGGTACACTCTCCCTATATAAACAGTTGTTACTGTTCTGTTAAACTATTTAGTCATTTGGAAAAAGATAGATGCATGAGATATAACTCCACAAAAAAATAAGAATTTTTATTTTAAAGTAGGCTTACTTACTGAAACTATTTTACATTTTAGACGAGTCAAAATAAGAAAATTTATTGCACAACCTTAAAAAAATTGCTACAAACTGTTTTGTATCGTTAATTTAATCTAATTGGTATATTAAAAAACATAGTAAAAGTCTAGGGAAATCGGAATCCCGGAAGTGGGTTATTTTCAAGATGGCGCCTAAATTAGCCAGAATGTACAGATTTTAAAAGTTATTATTGTATAAAAGGCACATTTCTTATCAGATTGTTTTACAATTTGGTTTAAATGTAAGAAAACAAATAATTTAGTATATTGAAGCATCATTACTAGTGGTAAGGTTGCGTTTAGCCTAATGGTTACGGAAAAAAATTAAAAAAGTTTAAAATTAAATTCCCATGTTATTCTTATGGAGAATAAGTCAACTGTTGTAGTTTGCTTGTTTATGAACATATTTTGATCAAATTTGGAAAATACATTCATTTGTTACTAAACTACAGTATTAACATTTTACAGCAAAAAAAACACACTTTTACCCTCCCTGTTGCAGCAAACCTAAGTAGGTACTTGTTAAATTAATTATATTTAAATAGGGAATAAATGTGATGTTTTTAAGGAGACATTTTAGTGTAAATGCAATCAGGCAAATGGAAATTCGCTTAGTCTGCAGGTTTGCTGCGGCGGGGGTATTTAAATGTGTACTAGTGAACCTGTGCGGCTCAATGCCCCGCAAAATAACATATGAATTTAGAAAACAAATTCAGCGTGTTATATATTGACTCGACGTCGAAAATTAAATACAGTACGGTAATAATAAAGCCTTAAAGCGAAGCAGTCCAGCCATTTTCTAGCTGAATGTGTATTATATTTAGTAAATTAAAAAGTGTTGAAGTTCAATTATGTTATAGGGTAGTTATTTTTTAAAGATTTTTAAAAACAGATTCAACAAACAATTTGATCATATCAAACCAATAGGCCTGTGTAGCATATTTTGAGGGTCATAAAATGCTGCTTGAAGAAAACACTTTAAAAAATTAACACTACAAAACAAATTTTTTTCACAAAACCACTTCTATTAATACTACGATTTTAAGTTACCTTCAGGAATATTACCCTGGTCAGAATTTTCCGTAATGAATATGCGTATCCTATTAAAAGATGTTGCCTTACTTAAAACAACATATAATATAGTTGCTCATGCACTGAAATTGGTCTGGGTAAGAACAGTGCTGTTTGTTTCAGACGGGCAAATTTGTATCCTCGAAATCAAAATATGTCCCCACTCACTTGTTCCAGTTAGGACTTTTCATTCTATTAAGTTGTTGACCGTTCTGATCACATGAAGCCTTGTCCCATTAATGAGGCCCTTTTTGATGTATTAATATTCCTCGTCAATAAAACCACTGCCCCCTTTTATTAGTCTAATCTGTGTCTTGGCAATCTACTGACCTTTATTTTTTATTTAAAAACTCAGTTGGATTTTCTAGATGGGTGTCTCCGCCTTCGTCTGTTTTCGAGGACCCGCTCTTCTTTCCCTTGGTATACTGACAATAAATTGTCAAGTCCGTGTAGTAATTCATTAATACTGTTAGTTTATAAAGAAAATTAGATGTGTACGTAATCTTAAAGGAAGGGATAACATTGGCTCAAACTGCGCGGAATGGTAGTGAAGTTGACCACTCCAGTCATCATCATGTTAGTGAACAAACCACAAAATCTCACAATCTGTCTGACATTATAAAAAAATGTTTCTCACGTTTTGAGAGCATATATTATCTAAACAAACAGAACACATTAATACTGTACTTAATCTTCTTACCATCGTTATTGCCCGCATAAAATTAATATTCTCCTTATAGTAGCATTAAAGTTACTTGGTGCTATCATAACTGCAAACTCAAAATACACCCACAAGTAAAAAAGAATCAAGTTATTGGTTAACAAAAATTATGTTTGTGTAACAATATTATTCACATGAAGTAGATGATTTGTTTGATTTGTTGATCAGCTGTTTAGTTTCAAATGAATTAATATTGTCAAAGATTTGTGGTTTTAAATACATAAATTATTATATTAAAGTTTTCTAAATCATGGTAACTTATTCTCAACTGAATTTTACCATTCCCAGCATTAAAATAAAGTAGTAACATCCATTATGAGTAAACTTTAAGGTACACAATCCTTGATTGAAATGTAATATACATTAACAGTCGTAATACTCAGCAATTATTATGTAGTAGACTTTGACTATTTTCAAGAAACAAACATATGTTTCTGTAAATAAAAATTATCTCCCATGTTATCCTTATGGAGAAATACGAATCTTTAAAGGGCCCCAGGGCCTCACTCTCTAATTATTTCCCTAAAAAGAAAGTTTCCTGCACAACTTCAAGTTACGCTCTTTCCAATGACACCAAAAACATGTCAATCGGTTCAGTAGTTTCGGAGGAGTAATTGTCACAAAAAACCTGCTTGCGTATTAAATAAGTATAGATTATTGATTTAAATTAGTTTTTAATCCATTAGAGTACAATTTTAGTGAATAATTATTATTCATGTATTTCTTCGTTCTTTCGTATCAAAAACTGAATAGGCCTGGTGCTCTTATGCAATTTTCTGTATATTATGGCTGATAAAAATTTTCAGTCAGCTTGCCTTATTTTTACAAACAACTAATCGTTAAATAAGAAGTGGTTGAAATCAGACAAAAAGGTGCGTCGAAATGTCCACCGAATGGTGGAATAAACGCGGCTAGTGTTCGAAGAGGGGACACCATAGTAGAGGTCCCTGGAAATAAGGTGCATACAAGTTGTCGCAAGATATACATTAAAAAAAGATATATAACTACACTTAAGCGAAAACCTGAAGGTTAAAGTAAAAAGCAATAATTGAAGCAGCAGCAATATTCATAAAAAGTGGCATTAAGAGAAAGGTACAATCATATACAATAATATAGAGAAAACCCCCACCACAGATGACATTAATGTTCAGTCGGCTTTAAATTACATACCTGAATCATTTAGAATTTTATCATAAACAACGTTTGTTGGAAAAGACAACCATCAAAAGGTTGCTGGCATCGGTCAGTCGATTAAACAGGAAGTCCGCAAACGAGCGCTAGTTGATCCTTTACAATTATCCCTTTCTGTACAAATGCATAATTTATTTAAGACCAGATTTCTAAATAGACACTTTAAATAAGTTGGAGTTCTGCTCGTCGTATAGTGAAGTGCAAAGATTTGGAAATAAATGCTACTAATGTACTAATGCCCCAAACATGGGAATAGCACTGAAATAAAATATACAGCTTTGTTATTAGCAGCAAACAATGTTGACCGCAATATCTCAACTCTCGATGTAAAAGTAACATTTTATGGAATGGAAATGATAGCTGCCATGACACCAGGCAAGGCCACACTAGTGTAGCCTTGCACCAGGACAGAAGACAGTTAATATAGCAAGGCGTCAATCAGCTGAGTTGAATATTGCTGTATTATCGAAAGTGCCGATATTTGTTTAATCTTCAGAAAACAATAATAGGCATATTCATAAAACATAAGTTTTACAGAGTCCCTAATTTTGCCTGAATGTAACTAGAAGATTGATATTTTGTGGGAACTGTCGTTCAAATCGGCTACCCTAGGATGGCATGGTTTGATGCACACTATTTATAAAGGAAATGGATACCCAGGAAAATCGTCCGTCAGGTATTTGTCAATGATAGATATGTACTCTGCAGACAAATGATGTATTCTTTCCACAGTGAAATTCCCATGTGTGTCCCAGAAAATGTCAAAAGGGGACCTTACCTTACAATCATGTACCAAAGTATTTACCACTCCGAACCAGACCACAGAGCTCATTTGATGACCTTGGTTGTAAGGCCAAGTCCATTTTATATATGTAGTAGTATAGATAGTACTAAGTACATGTAATGGTTTCATAGGAAAATTGCGATACAATATATTCAGCAAAAAGGTCGTTACCACTTCTTAATTCGTAAAGCCGTAATCACCTCCACCGACTGAATGTGCCTAAAAACTGCATTGTCGCAGAGGGTATTACCCGATTCTGGTATGGATGGGAAAGGAAAATGAGGTTTATTCTATAAAGTGGGACTGGAAGATCCAGAACAACCGATTCTACCCAATAATTACAACAAAGAGTGCTGCGCTAGAGAGTCTCCTGAAGGTCATTCATTGTAACTGTTCTACCAATTGTAAAACCTTAAGATGTTCCTGTAGAAAGTATTGCCTTCCTTGCACAACAGCCTGTGGTCAATGCCAATATGAAGAGCGTGACAATGTGCAGAACAATTCATGTTCGATAGAGTTAGATGAAGACGAAGACGGTTGAACAAGTTTTAACAGAGCAGCCCATTTACTATATCAACATTGTAATGAATTGTATATTTGTTAGAATATTTATGCTAATAAAGTTTAAATGTCTTCTTGCACATTGTGTACATCATTTTTTGGTGTAAAATAGTTAATATTTAGATTGAAAATCAAAGATATGTGTTAACAAATATTCAAGATACCTTGATTTACTTATTTTTACAGGAATCTTCGACGCCATCTTGGAAATTACCCTTTCCGGAGGCCCGATTTTCCTAGACTTTTATATTTTCATTGACAGGTATCTATTAAAGTAAGATTCGGCAAAAAATCATTTGTAGCAATTTTTTTGGGGTGTTTGCATAACTTTACTCGACTATTTGTAATCTATACTTATTTAATACGCAAGCAGGATTTTTGTGACAATTACTCCTCTGAAACTACTGAACCGATTGACACGTTTTTGGTGTCATTGAAAAACGCGTAACGTGAAGTTGTGCAGGAAACTTTCTTTTTAGATAAATAATTAGAGAGTGAGGCCCTGGGGCCCTTTAAAGTTTTGTATTTCTCCATAAGATAAACATGGGAAACGAACATTGTTTTGAAACTCCAGCTGTTGTTAGAAATTAAATATTAATTGGTCTCCATGGAAGCATGAGAAAATTCACAATATACATTTACTTTGACATTTAAAAGTAAACAACCAGAACTGTCAAATGCCTATTTCGCAATTTCAGACAGCTGATCCAAAAAAAATAAAACAAATATGTGGTAGGTTTATTTAATCTTAAACTTGAGGATAGATTATTTATTATGAATCTATTTCGATTATTATGAAACCGATTTTTCCCGTTGCGAAGCAAAAATTAAAAGTGAGAAGAAGAACATGTTAATTGTAAACAGTAATGTGTAAATAATTATCTATGTTGTATTAAAAATGTGTATAGTTTTGGATGATGGTTTGTGTTTAATGATATAAGTTATTAATTATTGAATTTTTATTTTAAGAATTTGGCATATGAGTATGCCTATGATAAATAACACAATTTTAGAGCTCTGCCAGGTTTTGCCTAACTCTGTTCTGTAGAGTTTAAAGTAGCCTACACCTTATTGTCTACAAATTGGCTAAATAACTTAGGTACGGTACATTATAAAAGCTGACAGCTTTTTTATGTTGACTTAAATTGTAAGCTTACCTTTTCCCGTCCATGAGCAGTTTGATAGTTAAAAAATAACCCTTTAAACTGGAATAGGACTGGTATGTAAATTGTGAGTATTTCCATCAGTTAATAATCTTTTATTCGACTCTTTTAAAATCATCGGAAATTATGGCTGTTATTATTAGTTTTTAAACAAGTCATTTGTTTATAAATAACTCCTGTACTTCTTTGCAATTGCTCGATTTCGAGCAACATGTACACTAGTGTACTCTAAATATGCTCATCGACAAAAGGCACTTATTGTAATAATACACAAACTGTCACAAGATAAATACATAGTTTGAATAACGGTTATGGTAATGTTTTTTAAATCGGACTATTTTCTTTATCTTAACTCATTGATAAAAGATAACTATACAATACACACCTGACTAAATCGGCTCCACCTGATTATTTTTTACCATTTCTTAAAAACAGCGAAATTTACTGCAGTGTGACCAAAAAGTATTTATTTACTTTGTGATGTTAATCCTTTAACATTTTCTAGGTTTCCCAACAATCCCGAAATACTGACAGTTTGGGTGGCAGCGACTGGGACACTAGATTTCATTCCAACCCATGGTTCCAAAGTCTGCAGTGATCATTTTGCGGAAAAGGCATATAAAAATGAAGGCAACAGACGCTTCCTGACGCCTCGCGCTGTTCCAACAAAGTCGTTGTCGGAAGAAGCTGCAACCCTCGTCAAAAATCAACTAACTGCAATGGGTGTAAGTAGCTTAGTGAAATGTTTGTAGTGATGTGGGCCGGGTAAATACCCAGTGGGTAGGCAAATATAAATTGGGTATTTACCTGGGTATTTACCCCAGGTAAATACCCAAAAACTGGGTATTTATTTAATTTTTATTAAAGTTAGAGAAGATTGAGATGTTTTTTTTTGCAATTATTACCCTTTAAGGATAGTAAAATGATGATTAAATGCGTCAAACAAAATTTCATATGGTCACTACTAGCATTTTACTTCTGGGTATAATCGCCATAAATACCCAGGTCTGAGCATGAAGCTTAATCGGCATAAATATCCTGGTCGCATGGTTGCACTGGTCCTGACTACTTATGATTTTATAATTTCTATGATAGATAGATGAATTCATTTTATTGAAAGTGAAGAAAAAGAATTTGTAAAGTAGGCTAATAATTATTATTTAGAAAAAAAGGAAAATTTAACCTTGTAGTGGCCTATGTGTAAACAACTTAAGAAAATAATTAAAATTCAATGCCGTAGGATGGCAGGATTTAATAATATTTTCTATTTTTTTATTTTGTTCTAGATCTTTTGTTGGTATCAATGGTGTCAAAATAAAAAAAACTAATTTCATAAACTTGTGATACAAAACATTTGAATCTATAGCACAATAAATCTTTCAACAATTCCTGGATATTTATAAATTCAAATAATTTTGTTTATGTTACCTATTTAATTGGTTATAAATATATAAAATGATAAAAATTGAAAGCCTTTTTTAATATACTGTAGCCTACTATTTTTTAGTAAGTTAAATTTAACTGATGTTACTCGATTTAAGATACGAAACCCCATTCTCAATTAAAAACTGTATGTATTATTAAAAAAAAAATTGCTAAATCATTAAAAGGTACTAGCAAAGCTCAAAAGTTACTGTAAAAGGTGTTAAAGACTATCCTAATTTATCATGTAATGATAACTATAACATATTTAGGGGTAAATATAAATGAATTTCAATCGATTTCATAAATACCCAAAATACCCGGGTATTTATGGATTTTGGGTATTTACCCGGGTAAATACCCAGGGTATTTACCCCGAGTTTTAAATACCCGGGTATTTTACATCACTAAATGTTTGGAATAAAAGCTGTTTTAACATGGACATATGTTGGTTTATATTGTTAAAAAGGGGGCTTGTGTGTTTTGTAGACTAAAGGTATAGAATAATGAGATGTTTTGTTTGATTTGGGTAATGTAGGCCTAGTAAGCCTGCAGAACAAAGTGATTGTTAAAGATGATGCTTAGATATTTTAAACTACAACTTTATAGTGGCTAAAACGTGTCTAGATGATTAATGTGACAGTTATCAAAAAAGTAGCCTATGGATGTGAAATCCATTTTCATGAACAGTTTTGTCTATTGTCAATAATCTGACCTTGGTTGGAAATCATTAAAAACTTATACTGGAAAATATATGTAGCCTAATCCAGTTTATTTGAGCGTGTAAAACTGGACCCATCTGTTCTTATATTTGGGCTTTTAATATCGTCCTGATTAATAAACCAGCTGATCTTAATTGGTAACAGATGTATCACTTCAACCATTAACACTCACCCTTGCCACTGTGGGGGGACTAAACACAGAATTAACATACATGCTTTCGTCATCCGCTTATAAAACGCTCATTGCTATAAAACAGCAATTTTATTATTTATTATTATTATTATTGCTCCATGAAACCAGGAACTTTAAATTGGCTGTCTCAAATTCAGTAATTGTAACTTTAAATCAATAATTTAAATTGTCTCTTGCCTTTTTCTAAGTCGGACCTACCTGCTGCCCGTTTAAGCTGGATTATAGGCTAAAGGTTTTACTGTACTAGATAATGTTTAGTCTCAGTAATTTGACATTTTCTTGTTTACAACTATTTCTTCTTTTCTAGAAATACAAACAAGACAACAATACTATGGCTTGTATTCTCGGTAACGACACTACTATAAAGCAAGTATCAATCACTAGAGATCCTACAGATCTTACGACTCCACAGCAAGAAAAAGTACAAGCCCCAGCAAGCATCAAGGTAGTGGATATGAAGAATCTGTTGGAACCACAACCTGAACCTACTGCTCTAGTAGCAAATCAAGTATGCTCAACGGAACCAAAGACTGCAGCTGCGGCCAACCCTATGAAGTCTCACGCAAATAAATCGTCCACAAATTCTGTGAAGTCTCACGTGAATATATCCTCCAGAAATCCTGCAAAGTCTCCTGTAAATAAATCCTCCATCAACCCTGTGAAGTCTCTCGTAAATAAATCCTCCATCACCATCAACCCTGTGGACTCTCAGGTGCAGAAATGCCCCATCAAGAAAACTTCCGAATGTAAATACCCGATCAATCATCTGAAGCCTACAACTGCATCACTCGTATCACAAACAGGAGTTTCGACTAGCCTAGTTCTGAGTTGTTTGAAGGTGATTTTGCCAGGAAAGTTTGACTTTTCACGTATGATACCTAATGAAAAAGTAGTCTCTTTGGTCATCCGTTACATGAAACTGAACGAACATAGTGAGGACATATATAATGTTGTCAAGGATCACCTCAACATTATAATAGAAGGGGCAAAAACAATAGACAAAAAAAGTGTCGACTTTGCAAATCATCCTTACACAAACATAAGCGACAGAGATTTGAAAGAAGCTTTGAATGTGATTTTGCCGATAAAATTCTCAATGGTAGACATAACTGATGAATTGTTGGCTTTAATATGCATAAACTTGGATCTTGACATTCACAGTGACGCGTATTACATATTGATTGGGAAAATTCGTAAGTTTACTAGTGAAGGTCAGATGTTCAGCGAAATACTTAACCTTGGAGATCAAGTCGATAAGTCACTGGAAATTGAGAAAAGTGTAGAAGAAAGCAATCATACATCTATTGGTCAGGAAGAGAAAGCAAGTCCTGAACCGCCGCAAGATGAAAATCCAGATATAAAACCAGAATTTGAGAACAAAGAACGTATGATTAATGATGCGATTCCCCCGTGTGAAAGTAATATAGAAGATAATGATGTGAAACTCCCTGTCAATAGTCAGCAAGATGGAGAATATAATGATGTGAAACACCCTGTCAATGGTCAGCAAACGCCTGACAATCATTTATCTACGAGCAGTGAAGATACTGACTTGTCATATTCTGAGAGTAGATCCCGTGTTGACAAGGATTGGGATCCAAAATCTAATACAGAAAATATTAGAAAAAATCCAATTAATCCAGATCATTCCAACCTCATTAACATAGTTAATTTTCTACATGCCAACCATCGCTCAGCAAGACAGATTTTTGCGAATACAATGCTCATGTTCAAATTGTGTAGATATCTTGACAAGAGACCTCATGACAGGAACATGAAGGAATTGGAGACAAAATTGAAATACATCATAGATAACAATATAACGAGAAAAAACTTACACCAATTCGTTCCGATCAAGAAAAAATTCAAGCCAAAAATTAAGAAAAATGCAATTCCAAAGATAAATCAAGAAAAGCTAAAAATGAAACCAATTGTGGTTTTAAATGACGTTTTTCACTTTACCCAAGAGGAAATCTTCTTGAATAAAGAAAAAGAGAAACAATGTCATAAGGAAGTTAGATATTCACAAAAACCAAGAGTGTTTAATATAACCTATTCTACTGAACTAGTGATGAAGAAAACAGACGAAAGTTACAAACAGTTTAGGAAAATAACTTCTAAGAATGTTGGAAATAAATTAGTGTTTTACAAGACATTTGCTAAGCTCGCTCCTGGTACAATAGTTTATGCCAAGAATTATAGACTACCAAGGGTGGGGTGGGTGAAAGGATACATCAGTAAGCAAGTTGGCCCGTTGAAGTATAAAGTTCAGCTAGATGACGACTATGTTTGGATTTGTACTTGCGACCAACTCAGACCACTAATGAACCAATTTGTAAATCATGAAAAACGCAGAGGTAGATCTGTTAAACCCAAACAGCTGATGGATTTGTAATATTGATTTGGATGTATTTGATTCTGTTTCCATTCAATGAAAATGAACTCAAACATGGACTCATACATTTTTTACTGCTACAGTATTTTTTTAGTGCAAAAAGTTATAGTAAAGTAGATATAAAAATTAATACACCATTCTCTATTAAATATTTATTTGTATTGACTTATTTTGATATACAAGTACTTTGCTAAAAGTGAAGGATAAGAGTACACTTTATAGTTTATGTGAATCATTAAAAAATATACTTAATGTTTGAGTATTAAGTACTGTACATGGTTATTGCTATGAAATAGGTTGGAGGATGGTAAAAAAACTAAAGTTTTCCTTTCAAATCTTTATAATTCTCATTAGATCTCAATAAATTGTGCATAGATGTCTTCAAAAACTTTACCAGGAGCTAATTTTGTATATTTCTTTCACTTTTACAATAGAACTCTTTTACTTTAGACTAGTAATTGTTAATTTAGCTTTGATATATCATGTTAATCTGTTTGAACTAAATACCTAACCATTTATTAATATTTCATATGGTTTTAGTACTTCAAGCTGAAAAATCTAAGATCTCAGTTAACCTTGTTATTTGATGAAGCTGTTGGATTTTGATATACCGTAAATACATTTTATACAGTACAGTAGAGAGTCGAAAATCCGAACTGCTCCTGGGGGTTTTAAAATATTGAATTAGCACAGAGGCAACAGATGTTGTACAATTTCGCGGGCCAAACAATCGGCGCCTGGCAGGAAAATGAGTGAACGCGCCGAGCAAGTCTGTGTTTTCTTCGTTTCCAATGTATAAGCTCTACATATATATATTTTTTTCAAGAAATGAATTACAGTTATATAACGAAAATACCTAAGTACAAAAATCATTATTTTTATTTCATTCACTGTATCCTAGAACTGTATTTTTAATACTGTAGGCCTAATTTTGTGTCTGTTAGGCATTTTTAGGCTATGTTCGAAAATTCGAACAAATCGGTAATCTGAACCTCCTACGGTCCCCAATTGGTTCGGATTTTTGACTCTCTACTGTACTTTGGATAAATATTATGTTTAAAATTTTACTGATGTAAATAATGTGTTTTTAGTTTAATTTCAATAAAGTGTGCACATGTGTTTTGTATTCTGTTGATTTTTCCGTTTCAAGTATCACAAACTGGCACATTCTCCTTTTTTCTGTGTCCATAACCCAGATAAAGTAGTTTTCATTATGGCATCAAAGGTTTTTGTTGACCCCTAGCAAAGTATAAGTAATAGAATGTAGTAACAATTTGCATTCATAAATCTTTTTTGTTTTGAACAATACCTGTGCCAAAATGTTTATCCAGTTAGACCAAATATGGTGCAAACCTAACTTTAACAAGCTTCTATCATAGATAAAGTAATAGTACCTGGGGTTGCTCGGAAAACTTTATCACTACACTCTAAGAGTATTCTTTGGTCAATGTAAATCTATCCCAAAAATATTAATTTGCGGTCTATTTTTTCTTGACAGATGTCAATAATAGGAGAATGTAATAGGTCTCATGGTAAGACCTAAGCCCGGGACCGATTTACTTTTTCATTTTGATGTCCCCAGAGGCCAAAAACACCATTCGTTCAAATTTTTATATATCTATATATAGAGATATATATATATATATATATATGTGTCCATCCGCACGATAACTTGAGTAATTTTTGTCCGATTTTGATAAAATTTGGTTTGAAGGTGTAAGGCGGGATAAACTTGAATGAGTTCGCGAACCAGCATGATCGGACTATGGGAACGGGGGTTTATGGGGTAAAAATAGGTTTTTCCCGGTTTTGACCCTAAAAACACAAAATTTCACAATTTCTTTTTAAACCATTTTGTAGAGCTTAAAAAAACAAATAATTTAGTATATTGAAGCGTTATTATGCGCCTAATTGTTACGGAGAAAATTCAAAAAAATTGTAATTTTAAAATTCCCATGTTATTCTTATGGAGAATAAGTCAACTGTTGTAGTCTACTTGTTTATGAACATATTTTGATTGATATTGGATAATACTTTTCATTTTTACTAAACTATTATCATTTTATAACAAAAATCATTTTTACCCTCCCTGTTGCAGCAAACCTAAGTACTCGTTAAACTAATTCTATTTAAATAGGAAATAAATGTGCTATTTTTATGAAGGCATTTTAGTGTAAATCCAATCAGTTTAATGGAAATTCGCTTAGTCTGCAGGTTTGCTGCGGCGGGGGTACCTATGCTACTTCCCTATAGGGAAATTCGCTAAAAAAAAAACAATGGTATATAAACTGACCACGTAAACTGATAATAAACTGATGATAAACTGATCATGTATATTAGGTTGTATTATGCCTATGTACTATGTATATAAGTTTTGAAACGGAGTAGAATAAGGCACGTAACTTTATTTTTCTGAAATAGATAGCTAAATTATCCAGTGCAATCATCGCATACTGCTAAATTGCAACACTCAAACTTAGTTAGGTAAGCTAGTGGTAGGTTACAATTAATTATTAAATCCCTGAATAAACATTAATAAAGCTGAGGATAATATAAGAATAGTTTATGGCACTAGATACTACAGCTGGGTGGTCACTTGTCCTGCTAGTGACTCTTCAAGAGCTTGCAATATTAAACTGTTTAAACCCTCCAGTGGCTGGAGGCACCAGCTCATAGCGGTGAATAAACCAGCTGTGTGACAGGGGGTTTAGCGGGACTCTGCAGCATCTCCCATTAAAACATCCTTTTTACCGATTCTCTAGTTTTTTAATTTTTTTTTTGTATTTTATCGGATTCTCTAATCCCATTGGATCATATAGATAAAGTAAACCAGCCAATAGTATGGATCTAATCCATTCTTTATCTTTTTTCATGCTATGCTAATACTTGATAAGTTATAAGTAGTTGTTGTTAATTCCTATCTAGCTTATTAAGATTAACTATTTAAATATACCTATATTGAGATGAGACAAACGGGAAATTATCAAACAACAATTATAAAAGAATAGTCCCTTTTTTATCTTGTCACAATTATAACTAATACAGTCTGGTAAAGTTGAAAAAAATCTATTTCACATCATTTAGTTGGAAAATGGCAAACTGAAAATTGTTGTCAATGTCGAAATTGCGGAGTCCTTACAAAATGTGTTCAGTGTCGATGACGATGATGTCTGAAACAAATAAAAGAAATCAAGTAAGGGTTGAGTTAAACTGTAAAATTTGAAAAAAATAAAAATTTTATTATTTCAGTCATATATTAGTTATGATGCTTACACACATACATAAATGATAAAGATAATTATACTCACTGCTTGAAAAATATACAATACAATATTCTTTATTGTTCATTCGTTAAGAATTACAATAGTGTCAATATATAGTCTTCATCTTAAAAAAAATTTACTTTTTGCAACACTGTAGGCTATAGTGTCTAGACAATAGAAGCTTTACTGTACAATAATTCATTCAATATCAAACCTAAAAAACACAAAAAAAAAAATATTTTTGAAAAAACTTTATTCAAATATGTATTTAGCATGAATTCATCAAGTTTTATAATTTTACCAAATACAGTTTGTATCACGAATATTAGAACAGAAAACGCATAAACAAATGACGTCAATGGCCCAAATATCTACACTAATAGCTGTAACAGCTGGTTAGGACGTTTTTTGACAGTTCCATTTAAATATTTATGTTTACTTTCGGGCCTGTTACTAGACATAATGCTCAATGTTAGTTTATACTAATAAGTATAATTTCAGATAGTATCTTTTAACATCTTTTGCGATCTCCACATCTCAAAAGTGAAAGAGGACTTGGTTTCAGGCTTTGAAATTTTGATTTTTAAAAATATCAGAACAAAACAATGAACTTTTCCGTAAGCAAAATTCATCTGATTGAGAAAATAGTTTTTAAAATGGATAGAGTCAAGCTATCTCCTAAAAAATTTTCCGGGACTTGTATACATAATTAAGGCCACACAACATTAAAAGAGATTACAAAAAAATGTCCTTGGTTTCACATTTCTAAAAAAAAACTCTTTGAAGAACTAGGGCCTAATAAATATACTATAGGTCGGCCGCTTAGAAAACGACCTGCGTGAAATTTTCAGCACATGTAGGGGAGGTAATGGCGAGGGAGGGTATGTTCCCCCTCTTCGCCAATGGCCGTTGTTTTCACACTGTACGATACGCTACCGCCCCAGTGTCGTGGGAATTGGAATTCTGTGTTACCAAATGGAACTGCTTACACAATGATACAATAAAATTTCATGATGCTCAAAATATTGATGCGATTTAGGCTATACAATATTTTTTGCAGGACCTATTTTTCTCAAGTTATGAAGAACGTAATTGTTTACATTTTGATCAGCTGTATAATTTAATTGCTGTTAATATTTATAAAAGGTTGGGGGTGGGGCGTCAGCGGAGTGGGGGAAGAGCCATAGTCTGTCTCACTCCCACAGCTCGGTATCTTTCTCTCGTACCAATGCTAGGAGGAGGACGCTCTCTAAGCGGCTGACCTATAGAATCAAATATCAACGTTTGTACATGGTCTTGACTATAGAAACAGCTGGTCAGTGCCATTAACAAAGCTACGCAAGGCATCTCACTCCATTCTACGTTCATATCGCCCAGTTGAATATAATTTCTTCAAGTAATCTCGCTAAACCACCTTCCCTTCCTAAAAACACATCTAGAAATTTTGAATGTTAACATTGCAAACTCTAAAACTTAAAATAAAATTGATCAAATTAATGGTTTGTGTAGCAACTCACCTATCTTTGTCTCTGTCTCGTCTTTGTCTATCATCATAGTCGTCTCTTCTGTGCCTATCATCATGCTCATCTCTTCTTCTTGGAGGACTAAAAAGAAAATTTCATTTTAAATATTCTTTCAAACGTATATATCCTACAACCATTCCAAAACAGATTATTACAAATCTTCTGTTATAGCATGCTTACTTGAATGGAAAATAACTCAACCCTGTCACAAGAAACGCAAAAAGTACACTAAACACAAAAATTAGAATGCTTCAATGTCTGACAGAAATTTCAACCAAGTTGGGCGTTGACACTTCCTGGTTTTAATTGGATCAAAAATTATCTCTCTTCCCGGCTAAACCATCTTTGGTAAAAAATGTTGTAGTGACAGTGAAATAGTCTAGTTTGTGTACAGTGTAAGGTTAGTTGCTCTGGACACAATTTTATCCAAACATTACAACAGATTAAGCATTTTTTACCTGTCTCTATCCCTTTTGTACCGACTGTCATCGTCTCTTCTTCTTACTGGACTGAAAAAAAAACAATAGTTTTAATCGTTAAGTTGGAACAAATTGTGGTTTTGAGAACATAGAAAGCTGCTTTCTAGCACAGACGTTGTTAATAATTGCTGAAAAATTCTACACATGTAGTTTTTACAATCTTGAAAAAATAGTAAGAGTATGAATTTGTAGCAAAACCATAATGTTTACAATAAGTCAGGCTGCAATCTGCCGCAGTGGAAGATCATATTCTTAGTAATCTAAGGAATTACACACACGGTGGTGTTTTAATTTGGGAGTTATTTGAGTTTAATTTTTGGCATGTATTTTTAATTTTAATTTTCATTTTTAGATTGACTTGTGACGAACAGCAAACAATTCTAACTTTATACAGGGTGTCTACTACATTCTGGATAAAAAATTCATGGACAATTCCCGTACATTTAAGGACACTTTGCCGTAACCTTTGTCGGTGTCATTAGGCCTACCGAATAATTTTCCTGATTTGTCAAACTGTATTAATCTTGTTATTCACTGTAGTTGTAAATTTATTGAAAGTAAACAAACATAGGCCTACCTATACTTTAGGTAAAGCTTTTATAGTGTAACAGAGAAATGCAATCATTGTCTCCTGCGATAGCGACAAATATCTCCATCCGTCACGTAAACTTCATAACATAGCTTATCCGATCCAGGCGGATTAATTTGGCATGATTCGCCCTGGCACAACGTTAGGTTCTTGACTACTTTTGGAAAAAAATCTTTAATGCATATTGTTACTCAATTCTTAGTACAAAATCAAGGTATGGTAAGCGGCTATTAATAAGCAATAAGCACAGAGTAAGATTATTGTATTTTCATTTGTAAAGTTAATATCGACTATAGCAATCATTAGTTGTTTATCTTAGGCTCAATTACATTTTCTTAATATATTTTACAGCTCTTTCAAGAATCAAAATACCCAGGCCTAAACCTAATTATTTAGGAGGGCCTATATAAACTGAGTAACAAACAATGAGGTTAGCAGCAAAGTTACTGTCATCATTCTAGTTCATAAGATTTTGATTGCTTAAAGCATACAACTCAATAAATAAATATATGGGAAACAAAAAACATTGAAACCTGAACAGCCAACAATATAAGACAAAGATACAGAAAATGCAATGATATAATTTGAAACCAAGCAGGCCTACATAGTGATAAAACATTAATGCTTGTGGTTTTGTCAATTGAAAGATAAAATATGTCCATAAAAAAGGTCATAAAAAAGGTCCATAAAAAAGTACATAATAAGACTGTAGATTATTTAAATGTTTAATATGAAACCATAAACAGTTTTATGGCACTAGGCACTGGCCGCGGCAAATTACATGTTTAATATGAAACCATAAACAGTTTTATGGCACTAAGCACTGGCCGCGGCAAATTGAACCGAAAGTACAAGTAAGAAGTGAAATTTAACAGCCATTATAAAGCTATTATTTTCACGATAAAATAGGTTTGGGATCTAATAATAATTACCCTAGTAATAAAAAAAGAAGTTGTAAAGGAATAAAAGTGATACAACTTTTATGAGCTAGCTGCTGAGTCAACAGTTCTTGGAAGTACTTGACTTCACACTTGATTGTCGTGATAAAATATTAATGGGTTTGAGATTGTTACTGGGATTTTTATTGCATAATTACTCTAGTAATAAACTATGAAAATGTAAACAAACATCTGATAAACCTTTTATGTGCTCCTAAACAACTAGCGATCAATAAAATTATGGCCCATTAAAAATTTAAGGACATTGTCTGGCATTTAAGGACAATTCCCGTACATTTCATGGCCAGTAAAAATTTAAGTACAATTCCCGGTTTTCCCGGATTTCCCGGTTGGTAGACACCCTGTTTATAGGATAAGCAGGCTTGCCCTTCGAAATGTAGGCATAAGCCCTTTCTATTTAAACCTAACTTTGGTTAACAAAGTCATTTTGGTTATTTGATTACATTTGAGAAATTACTCGCTGATTGTACACTTGAGGAGTTTGCGGATGCGGACCAGACTTTTTTTATTTCAGATAGAGTAAAAAATGTTGACCCTTGGGCCTTGAAAAGGTTGTTTCTTAGTAGATAAACTTAGCAACGTTGCTTCTGAGCGCTTGATACTTCTGGCGGTGAAGTGGTAATGGCCAAATAGTAAACATTTTCCGAGGTCACATCAACATCATCATTGTCTCCCACAACACCAGTGAACATCACCCGCAATCGGGGGAAATCATCAATTTCCACACACGCATATGCTTTCTATGATGGCAACAATAAAATCTCGGCTCGACTTAAAAATTATTTCGTGCACCATCGTATTCCTTGGGCCAACTGTTGCCCCGACCCAACTTGAACATTTCGGGAACCCAGTAGCTTACCTGTCTCTCCTGGTGCGATCTCTCCTGTCCCGGTCGTAGTCCCTGTCCCTATCTCTGTCCCTCCTGTCCCTGTTATCCCTGTCTCTTTCCCTAGCTCTGTCCTTGTCTCTGTCCGCACTGTATCCACGACTATCCGCATGTCTCTCCCTGTCTCTCTCACGACTGTATCCCTTGCGATCGTCTAGCTGACTGCTTCCTCGTCTGTCATCGTGTTCTCTGCTGTAGCCTCGTCTATCGTCGTTTTCTCTGCTATACCCTCGTCTGTCTTTGTCTGGCTCCCTGTATAACACACAATAAGTAATCTAGATAAGTTTCAGTAAAATTTATAGTTATAATTATAGTAGTTATAGTTCTGACAATAGTCGATGATAATAAGTATGTCGATGCATCCTAAGCAGTTCTCAATAATCTAATCTCCAATGTAGTTCTTGTAGGCTAACGGCCAACTTGGATTTGCCCGCCATAAGAGCAATGTTAATTTCAAACAGCCGCTGAAGAGTTACCATATATACTCTCATAAATATTTTGTTGAATACCAAAATGATTGTAATTTAAACATCTAGGGCACTGTGGGATTAAAAATTTTCCTTGTACAGTAGAACCTCTGTTAACCGAATATGGGTTAACCGAAACCAGGATTAACCGAAATGGATCTATAAAATAATATAGGGCTGTTAAATGCTAACTTTAGTTGTCTGGATTAAAGTATTTTCCATCCCATTGTAACATTTTCGTAACTGAAAAAAAAAAAAACACTGAATTATATAGACATTCTCTTTAATTCATTTTCCTACACACTGTGGTGATACATTGGCTATTTTTAGCATGATGGGTTAACTGAAAAATCGGTTATCCGAAACGGCTCTCCCCTCTTTATTTTGGTTAACGGGGGTTCTACTGTAGTTTTGTAATTGTTTTATGAGTTAGCACAACTAGGCTCCAAAGAATCTTTACTTGTTCAAACCTCAATGAATAGTTTTACGCTTGACAGTTGACGCCTTTTTACTTGTAATCTTCAAATACTACATCTGATTCAACAAACCTCCAGTAACTTTCCAAAATAGTAAAATGTTGCTTTTGTGCAATGTAAAACTTATTAAAATTGAGGATGTAAAAATAAAAGAACTTTTTTTTATTTATTTCGATTGAGTGAATGAATGAAATAGTGCATGAAATAAACAGACACATTTCAATTTGTGAAATACACAAAGTAAATTGAAAGACGTCTCATTTCGTACCTACCCGCGTATCCTCGAAGCCTTCTCAGCCTGGCCGTAGTGAGCCTCTTCATCGGGAATGTGACGACCTACAGGAGCAGCAGGTTTACGAGCCACAACAGTGCCAGCCGCCGGTGGAGGAAACCTCTCATTCATCATCTTCTCCAACTTTTGCTGTAAACAATTTGCAATCAGATAGATGCACTTTATGTTTTAGAGGTGGGTGTTCTTTAAAGTAATAGGATAAATAATACTATTGCTTAAATGTCGCCTATTAGCTTGGTAATAGAGTACTTAGACTACCCTATTATTTTTTATATGTTGTCTTAACAGTTTGAACAAGGTGAGTGAAATAACTATTCTGCTGATCACGTTTTCCTATTGACAGCGAGCAGCTCGAGATAATAGGGCCTTCCTAATGGATAACTGAGAATACCATATTTTTATTTTTACGTCGTCTGAACTGATAGAACGAGCCAGTAATGATACTAATTGTTTGATTAACATTGATTATTTTAAAATAACAGTAAGAGCCTGTCTGAGGAACTTTTATGCAACACAATAGTACCTAGGAATATAAAAAAAAATATTAACCCCGTATTGGAACAAGCAGCAAAAACTCTCTGGACAATGAAGTAATATGTGAAAAAATGGTATTATTTCACCTAGCCTATTACAAAAAACTAAAGAACATCTCTAACTATGATTGGAAAACTACAGTATTTCCCATCCCTAAAATTTTGACTGATTAGGCTATAACTATGACATCCAACATGTTACCAAATTTATCCATACTGTTCATTGAACTTCTTACAACATGTTACCAAGATTATCCATACTGTTCATTGAACTTCTCGAGTGATGGAAACCACATTTTTACCACAATAATTTGCAGAAAGAGCACTACTAACACTTCCTTACTTTTAAGTAAAGAACGTGCTTTATGTGTTAGGCTACGTGTTTGTTCAGCTTTATGGACCAGTGTTCCTAACCTTTTTCTCTGGCTGTTATATATATTTACTAAATATAGGTGTGAAATATAATAGGCTAGGTACTTGTATTTAGATCGCCACAACAAATCGCCTCAAAGGCCTTTGCACACCTCAGGTTGGGAAAATCTGATGGTTATAACAAATATGTGGAAGTAATAGTTTTGTTTAGTGTCATCACCTATTCTCTAACTAGACAAGTTTTTAAAAACACAGAATAAAGGAAGTGTATAAGTTAAACTCATTAGTAAGACTGATGACAAAGCCCAGTGAAACTTACATACCTGAATTGGTACTGGAATCCGAGGAAATAAGGTCGAAAACCATTCCAGTTTGCACAGAAAGTTCTTCAAAATGTTTCCAATAGTCATCACCTGACCTCCACCAGCTTTAACATCCATTTCCTGTAAAATATCTCACTTAAGCACAACTGAAAACCATCCGATGAAATGACTGATTGAAAATGTTTAACGATTTGGCAACGAATTGGAAACAGGCTGTAATTCTTCAGCAAGTTTTGAGACAGAACATGTTTGCACGAGATGCTGTAGTAAATCTAAAGGGATTTTTGAGGGGGTAAAAATTGTGAGGTACTACCACTCTGATTAAGTTAATTGAAATAATGTCTTTGGATTATCAGCGTGTCCAGCGGCCTATTTTCATTTTAGAAAATTTAATGTTAAATGTTAAAAGGTTAATGTTAAAAAATAATTTTAACATGCCAAACACATTTTTAAAATATCAAAACTACTGTAGCCAACTGTACTGTAGTAATGTTATTTTTCATAATTGAATACCAGTGTCGGTACAGAAAAAATTACTAAAATCGAAAAAATAACATTCCCACTCTTGATGATAGAATATTTAGGATTTGATCTTTAGTTTTTGTTAATTATGGCAACCAAAGCCATTAGTAAAATGAAGGAAAATTAGGAAATTACATCCTAAAAATCTACTCACAAATTAAGAACACAAGATCAAATATAACAGAAAATATTCTGATAATCGGTCCTTTTATCTTTTACTTGCTCTACTATCGGTATCTTCGTTGCGAATAAAGATCTTTTGGTTTGATTTTACATCTAGTAACAGTATCCTAGAATTTACCTCGTACAATACTTTTCACAAGATGATCCCAACAGTCATCAATATGGTTACCTAAAAATTAAAAAAAAGGTAGAAAAGATGAGTACATTACCTACCTCAGGATCCTCCAAGTAAGCATCATACCAGTCCCAGAGATCTGCGGGTGGTTGCGTGTATCTGCAACACAACGTACGAGTTAGTCTCTCGACTAGGCCTAGTGGGATCAGGGTTAAAAATATATTTGTTAAAACATAGCTTCAGAACACCAGTCTCACTATAAAAACTAATCAGGACCCTGGATTACAAAATTGATTGGATTACAGTAAAAACCCTCATATCACCATGGGACCATGCTCCTGACATGAAAATTTGATCGGATAGACTAATCTATGATGAAAACCATAATTTATACCAAACAATTATAAGTAATCAATAATTGTAGTTAAAAGCAGAGTTTAAGTCTTTAGAGATTATCTAAAAAAAATCCACATTTCTAATCGATGGGAAATGTTGTGTTTATAGAAAAATGTAATTAAATAATCAACATTAAAATATTATGAATTCAGATAACTTTTATAAAAAACTTTTCCTTTTGAGTTTAGATCACAAAAGCTTGAGCAATAGTCTATTTTAAAGGATTGCAATGCTTGGTAATGACATACAACTATTGGTCCTAAATCTCAAAAACACATACTCCAAACTAACTCACAGACAAGTTGTTAAAATTATCTCAATGACAAAGTCCTATGTGAAATTAAGGCAATAACTGGTGGTCAGTAAGGCAGGGTTACACAGTGTACATACTCTTCCGGTCAAATTTGGTTATTGATTTTATCACAATATCTTTAATCAAATTAATTGGGCCCCGCTGTTGCGATTAATGGAAACCCTACTTAAATTTGAATCTTTAAATAAAATACTATTCGCCTATTGACTTTTGAATCTTGTAGAAAACAATCTCCATATGAACCAGCTCTAGCCAATTTGTTATTTAAAAAAATAAAGGCTATTTGAAAGAGCTACTCACAGAGTTTATTCCTATGAAAATTCAGGTCTCTCCCTTAATTTTGTATACTTAAATGGATTACTGTGGTATAAAAAATGCTATCGTTTGCAATATATAAGTAGTTAGTTCTATTAGTCTGGATTGGATTAAAAGTTTTTTTTTATTAGTCATAAATCAATAGTCAATACTTTTATTCTCACTGTCAACATCCGAGGCATTTTCAAAGAAGGAATTGGAGTTATACAAACACTTATTTGAAACGTGGTCCAAACCCATTTGTTTTAACCCATTTTGATTTTGTGCCTGGAATCAAACGCGTCCCTCTCCCACTGATGTCCGAGATACTAACCACTAGGCTAAAAACTCACCCCAATTGAACTATGTTTACTCTAAAACTGGCTACATAATTAGCATGGGAATGGAGCCTAGTTTAACTCATTGTTAAAGCTACTACACACTACTTTATACACTTCACGACGGTAAGCCTACTATTTAACCACCTAGGTGTATCAACATTGACAGTTTACAAGTCAATTGAACCACACAGGACAGCAAAATAACCTTTGAACCGCTCGGAAGCGGTGACTGTTGAGAATGATCGGTCCACACAACTGGCCTAGCACTTACCTGATGTACATAAAACCGAGAGCACGAATGTAAGGTGAATCGGGATGGGTGATTAGCCCATTTACCTGCTTCCTAGTTAACTTCAAGGTAAATAGCTTATAGAGCAGGCAATAGGCTGTGGACACAATCCCGCCGGCCCCAACCCCCCGAACCTGTCAAATCAAATATACAGTTAGCAATAGGCTGTGGACACAACCCTACAGGCCCCAACCCCCCGAATCTGTCAAATCAAACATACAGTTAGCAATAGGCTGTGGACACAACCCTACAGGCCCCAACCCCCCGAATCTGTCAAATCAAACATACAGTTAGCAATAGGCTGTGGACACAACCCTACAGGCCCCAACCCCCCGAATCTGTCAAATCAAACATACAGTTAGCAATAGGCTGTGGACACAACCCTACAGGCCCCAACCCCCCGAATCTGTCAAATCAAACATACAGTTAGCAATAGGCTGTGAACACATTCCTGCCGGCCCCAACCCCCCGAACCTGTCAAATCAAACATACAATTAGCAATAGGCTGTGAACACGTTCCTGCCGGCCCCAACCCCCCGAACCTGTCAAATCAAACATACAATTAGCAATAGGCTGTGAACACATTCCTGCCGGCCCCAACCCCCCGAACCTGTCAAATCAAACATACAATTAGCAATAGGCTGTGAACACATTCCTGCCGGCCCCAACCCCTCGAACCTGTCAAATCAAACATACAGTTAGCAATAGGCTGTGAACGCATTCCTGCCGGCCCCAACCCCTCGAACCTGTCAAATCAAACATACAGTTAGCAATAGGCTGTGAACACATTCCTGCCGGCCCCAACCCCCCGAACCTGTCAAATCAAACATACAATACAACAATTACATCTCGAGACTAATGTCACGCATTCAAGTCCATCACCCGGCTGAATATGAGTTCAGGCTTACAGGACAGAACACGAAGTCCAATTCACTCAGCATTTCCTCCATGATTGATTTATAAGAAATAAAATAGGTTTACATACCTTACGTCGTCAATCCTATTGTAGTCTCAGGGGACTAGTTTAGAAACAACTGTTGTTTCATCTTCAAGCCTTTGTCATCATACATAAAATTATTTAACACATTGTCAATAAACAAAAATTTAGGATTTTGTACACACGAAGAATACAAATACATTGAATTAACATAAAATAGTGAGTGGCCAGTCACAACACGCACGACGGACAAAACTCAACTGAGTTGAGTTCGTCAATTTTTGTATATTGATGACAACACTTTGTTTAAATTATTTTATGTATGACGACAAAAGGCTTGAAGATGAAACGACAGTTGTTTCAAAACTAGTTGCCTGAGACTACAATAGGATTGACAACGTAAGTTAAGGTATGTAAACCAATTTTATTTGACAAAGTCAAACTCTTTAGAACAGCTGACCCTTCAAATACACATAAAACAACAAAAAAGCTGATTAAAATCCATGTTTAGCCACTGAGCTGTGGTAAGTTATAGGTTTTACCTTAACTGACAGAGCTGTTACCAAATCTAAAATACCTAGGCCTACTTCAATGATGTCCATAAACGTTGTGATACTAAAACAATTTATGGCTCATGAGTTTTCCTGATTATTTTAGATTGAAAATCAGCTACTAAAATAGCTGTAACTTAGAATTAAGAAGGTATTCAGTTAATAATCAGTAAGAAAAATTCTTAGGATTTACGACATGTGAACCCCGCATAATAAACAATTGACCATTGACTGTAACATGGTTATTGTCTCCCGTGGTTATGGAAACATCATCAAGTTTTTCATGACCACGGCCAAATCTTGAACATCTTCTGCGGTTGATAGACATGATCGTCTCCCACGGTCATAAAAACATCGTCACCGTTTTCTGCGATCGCAGAAAATCTTGAACTGTGTGACCTTAAAATCATTCATTGCATAAAGTCAACAGTTGATTAAGGAAGAAAGATTTTAAAAATTGAAATTGAATTGTTCGCAAAACACAAGTTTAGTGAAAGAGCTGCTCAAGTGTTGCCAGTAAATAAATTCTCATTTGCTACAGCTGTGCACATCCTTTCCATTCACATTTTTTCCCATTTAGGCATTTTCCAATGACAATGTGCATGATAATCTGCCTTGATGTTTGATTCAATTAACAACCTTTTGATTTTGATGACATATTTGATTGTTAGGCGAGCACTTAAACCACGCTACCCAGCCTGCTCTTTCGATCCTAAACAAAATCAAACCTTGAAACAACAAAGATAGTAATTTTAAACATACTTACACCTCCACACATTCCAGTCTGTCCAGCAGTTTTTCTACTACCTTTTTCCCATGGTTCCAAATGACTAACCTTGTAGTAGATTTCATCAATTACCTCGTGGTATGTTTTGAGCTCGTACAGATTAACTGAAAAATACATTTAAGTTATTAGTTAACTAGCAAAACTGCTGTATGCCTAAACAAACATAGATGCCTATAGCCTTTTAGTAATCCAACAGATTCAGGCCTTTTTTTAGGTTATTTTTTTTAGCTATTTTCATGTCAATGAAGTTCTATTAGCATTCAAATTATGTTTGTGAACATTACACATCTAAGATACACCATGAAGATTTGAGATGGATCTAATTATGTTATGAATAAGTTAAGTGTATCAAAATAACGCAATCCATCAAACTTTGTTGGTCAAAGATAAAGAATTCAAGTATAGGCCTAACAAAGATGCAAGCGACTTAACTAAGATGCACTTTAGCGGCTTTATTATGGATCTGAGCTGAGCTAAGCCGGCTAACGGCTAACTGCTTAAGTGACCGAGTATCAAGTTTAGAAAAAAATTGAGCCAAAACTTTTCAATTCTTGCTACATATTAAGATCACAGGTATATTAATGTCTTGAAGTACATGTGTGATTTAAATTTCACAATGTCTTCATAGAATATTTTTATGATTTTGTCGTGATTGTGGGGGGCAATGATGATGTCTCAGTAACCGTAAGAAATGTTCATGAAGGATTAAAATTTTACATTTTCCTATTTCCCTCTTTGCTATCACCAACTTAACATTAATAACCTCTGGCACTTTCATTACTCCGACACAAGACCTAACTTACTAGTTCAATATGATTAAGGATCAGTGAGAGTCCAATGTAGGCTACTTCAGACTTAATCATGCCACCAAGCAGCAGCCTTTAAAGTAACTGTGCAACATTTCTCAAAGTTTTTTTAAGCAGGCTATTGATAACTGTGCCTTGTAACAAACAAGCCCTCAAGCCCATCTCATGATCTATATGTTTAGACTTACCTTTAAAGTAATGTGACGATTGAATATTTGTTAAAATTAGAGCATTCAGGTTCATGGTTCGTTCATTCCCCCATAAAGGGAGTATATTGCTCTTTTTACCTCCATGGCTAACAGTTTTGGTTTCTTCATCATCATACACTGAAAAAGTTCAATCTAATTAGAGCAGAAGTATTATTTTATCTTCAAACTTAACTTATAAATCGACATACACAGCCTACGTAACCTAGAAGTTATTCCAGAAGCTCTTTTGGGGGAAGGCTTTAGATTATCAACCTAAATCATGAACATTGGTAGGCAGTTGAGGATTAGGCCTACCCTTTAGGTACAATAAGCAACTGCCTAAGGGCCCCAGGCTTCAGGGGGCTGCAGACCAAAAAAAGGGGTTTTCTCAAGGCCATAATAGCCTAACAATTGACAACAGTATTCATAGCTAGTACCGATTTTCCCATAAGTTAGTGGGGGCAATTGGGTAGATCTACTGACAATTTCAACCCCTAAAAACAACCCTTTAAAAATAATTTAAAACGCAAAGGATACACGTTCGGTAACCAAACGTTGATTAGGCGTCTGGCAGTGACGTCACCACCGGGTTGTGGGGGCCCGGAACACCACTAACACAACGATACACGGTGGAATGCCGTCGGTGATCGTGGTGTAGTGGATAGAGTATGCTACTCGGCTGATGTTCAAGAGATAGGCCTACTTAGATCAAATCCCATCGGCGTCACTAACTTTTTGTCTGAGATTTTGCTTAGAATGCCATTTCTTCATAATCTACATCTTTTGTTAAAATTTGAGGCATTTATAATTTTATTTCATGAACAGAATTTAAACTTCATTCGATTTTTTCATTATCAACAAGTTTGGTTAGCTAGGCCTAGGTTAGGTTATGACAGGTTAGGTTATGACAGTACCTAACTGCCGGACGCCTAACTTAATCCACGTCAGGTTACCGGATACGTAGCCTATCCTCGGCCAATTTAAAAACTCCAAAACTATAGTAAATTACTGAGTATAACTGAGTATTACTGAGTATACTTTGGTTTTGAGGTAAGTGTAAATAGTTTACATAGCCTAAATTATCATTTTAATAATATTTCCAAGGTTTCTCGCGCAAAGTTTGTTCGAAACTTTCAATAGGTAAAAAACATACATAAGGGTCCAAACAAAATTTACATTTCAAAGGTAAGTAACAAATAGGCTATAGAAAAAAACTAAGAGGGTACAAGACTATCACTAGACCTAGGCCTTACTTAAATTTACAGATTTTAAAAATCTAAGTAATCTAATAGCCTACCTATACAGGGTGATTGATATAACTTAAGTGTGCCATCTGTTTTATTCGAAAACTATAAGAGATATCAAAATAAGTTAAATGGTAAGTGCCTAGGATTTTTATTTTAAAAATTGTAGTCCAAGCGAAAAAAATATTTTAGCCACCACTTTTCCAATATGGCCACCAACTTTGATTTTTCTTATTGAACACCCTGTATTTTATGATGTATTCCAGTAAAAAATGTAATTTTAAGACGATTTTACTCTTGTGTTTTTTTTTCATGAACCTAACCGTTTCAAAGATAATAATGGTTAGTTGTGAAATTTTGAATAAAACAGCTGGCTTGCTTAGCCCTTTAATTAAACTCTTTCTCATGCCAAAATTTCAAAACTTTAACCATTAAGTAGGTGAAACAGTTAGGTTTATGAAAAAAAAAACACAAGAGTAAAATCGTCTTAAAAATACATTAAATTCATCATAAAATACAGGGTGTTCCATAAGAAAAATCAAAGTTGGCAGCCATATTGGAAAAATGGCGGCTAAAAAATGTTTTTCAACTTGACTAACTTACATCTAATATATAAAATTCTCGTGTCACAGTGTTTGTCTGCAAACTCCTCCGGAACGACTTCACCGATCGTTATGAAATTTGGTGTGTAAATTCTGTAGGTATGCGAATCGGACGTAAACTATTTCCCGTTTCGAAATTCTTAAAAGGGCTCCGCCCCAGTGGCTCTGGAGTTTCCCATGTTAACCTTATGAGAAATGGAATTAATGAATCTTAACAGCTGTTTCAATTAAACAAGTTGGTTCTGTTCTATGATGTTCAATAGCATTAAAGTTACAAGGATTACCAACAGGGTGCAGCACTATTATTTCTTTTACATTTATGACAACAGCTAATTTGCAACCAAAAGGTGAGTGAGCGTAGCGAACGAACTTCAACCAGGACGTGATTGAGCGATGCGAACGAGATCATCTTGAAAATTAAACGTAACGGTACTTTCTTTCCATTGGTCTGTCTTAGGGGAAACCTATAACTTAGGCGATACGAAGTTCGCCGGGTCAGCTAGTTTTAATATAAAAAATCCAAGGCTTTTTACCTTTTAACTTATTTTGATATCTCTTATAGTTTTCAAATAAAACAGCTGGCACACTTCATGTATATCAATCACCCTGTATGAAGGGTTGATTTGATAATAAAATGTACCTAGGCCTAATACAGAATTCCCCCCTTCTACCGTAGAGATAACAAGAATAGGTACTTACCTTAGGTGAGTAAATTAAACCTAGTAGTTAAGTTGCTATTTAGGGATATTCTCGGGTAGACTTCCGTCCTATCTGTTGGCACAAACAACCGAATGAAAATATGCTTCATTCGATACATCGTTTGGTTAAAACCTTACCTAATTAACCAAACAATATAATCGATAGGCCTGTATCGATCAATATTTTCAATCAGCTGTTTGTGCCAACAGATACGGAAACCTACCCGGTTATAGTTCAGTTTCTAGAACTCACCGAAAATGTCCTATAGGCTAAGACGTTTTTAAACTGTTCCTAGACACAAGCACTAAGTTACAACTTTCTCAAATGACTTTTTGGTCGCCAACATTTCCTATAGACACCACGCCTAAATTACAAGACACCACCCCTCAAAAACTCGCTCAAACATCGTGACAGGGCAGTTTATTGTACTAGACACCCCATCAAGAATACTAAACACCACACCTAGATTAAGTAGACCTACTAGACACCATTAGGCCTACCAAGATCACTAGACACCTTACCTAGATTAGGCCTATTAGACACCAAGCAAAACTTACTACTAGACATCACGATCAGATTATGGTTAATCTAGGTAATGGTGTCAAGCAATCTTGGTTAGGAGTCTAAGTTAGTATAGGAAACGATCCCTGTCACGATGTTTAAGCAAGTTTTTCAGGCGTGGTGTCTAGTAATCTAGGGGGTGTGGTGTCTTCAGGAAGCCTCGGCGACAAAAAAGTCATTTAACACGTTCGCTGCTGACCGCTAGATGCCGGGACGGCGCCAGGAGCTGAACTAACGCTCGCCGCTGTGTAAACATTGCTGCCGATACACTGAATTACAGTAAAAACAACAGTAGTTGTACTGGATGGCAATGTTCTGCAATAAAACTGGCTTTGGACATCGTACTATAGCAGCACTACCCAGGTTGCAGTCGGTAAAGTAGTGTCGCTATCTAAGGAAAGAGGTGGGACAAAGGCCTGTTCTAAACAACCCTGGTGGTGATTTTCGGAAACTACTTATATTTTTTATTGTCAGAAAAGTACGTCCCCACGAGCTACAAAGAAATATAGGACGCTCATGACGAGCTGGCTGATCCATGGTAACGTACCGGAACGTTCCTAGCTCCTGGCGCCGTGGCCCGTTTGACGTTCCGGAACGTCCGTAGCAGCCTGTGTTAAGAAAGTTGTTGTGATGGTTAGCTTATTCACTACAGTATAACTAAACAACACAAGGAAGTAAAACTCAGTATGTTTGTTTGAAAGGCTAACTTATGCTAGGCCTACCATTAGTAAAAGATTTTGAGATGTGCAAGCCTAGACTAAACATAGGTAGGCTAGGCCTACTTTCTAACATACCTAGGCCTACTTACCCTCATTTTCATCATCCATTTTTGGCCTAAGTTAGCTGTGGTTGGGTGTATTTGATTTTTTTTCTAAAACTGAAATACGAGATAAAGGCTGGAGTAAAGTTTGATCAGTCTAAAAATGCATACTAAAATAGGCGAATTAATTGTTAACTGGTCACCAAGCGCAACTATAACCTCCACAGTCTAGCAGCTCCTACAAGTAATAATTACACCGATCAGAATCTATGTGAAAATTTAGGCCGATTATATAGCTTAACCCTCAGCTTAAATTGAATCACTTATATGGCAATTACCACATGTAAAAACAGAAAATAATTTAATGTGTGCTAAACGACTTGCCTACGAAATACGAAATGCAAGTGACGAGACGACGTCCGCCATTTCCATTTGCTTTCTCTGTTCTGGTTCTGGTTCTGAATTTCTGATTCATTCTGTTTTCCATTCCATTCCGTTCTGTCCTAATTGGACTAGATTGGAGTCGAATCGAATGGAAATGAAATCGGTTACAACATTGACTATATAACACTTACTAGTGTTGTGGTTATACAGTTTAGTCAATGGTTAAAACCACTGAGCTAAAATTATAACCTCAGTGGTTACAACAATATAGTAGTCAGCCAAGACACAGTTATCAGTGAATTAAAAAAAAATTGAAAAAGTGATGAGAAATTGTTATACCGATGACCGTAATGGATATACATACTGTAGTTCCTCAAATTGTATTGTAAAGTACAGCAATGTTGTACCATAGACAAAACATACTCCCTTAGTTGCAAACAATCCCTTGTGTTGCTTAGTCTATGGTTGTACCATTTTATTAAAAACCCTTCCCGGACGGGTGACGGATATATCCGCCTGGTCGATTCACACAATATCAGTCCAGTCACAGTTTCGTTACAGTCCAGCCATAGTTGCATCCGCATTTCTCTGTCAAACTGTCAGTCATTTGGTTCCGTCACTTTAAATGTTTAATTAAAACACAATATTCTATCAAACTTTCATTGTTCGTGATGTTGATCGTTACAAACATTACTTAAAATATAAATTCGATCATTTAAATAAAAAAGTATTATTTTATAATCTCAAATACGTCCGTCAAGCGTCCGAACAATCCAAAAATATCGGTGAAAAGAAATCTGAAATTGACTGACGGACGTCTGCAGAACTACTGACGGAACTGCAACGGGTGAGTGTAGATAGCGCTATAGAAAATCCATTAAAGAATATTTTTGTTAACTGTGACGTGCCTGAAGTGACTGGACTGCAACGTGCCGTAACTGATGTATGTGAATCGGCGATAAAGGACGGGTGGCGGATATAACCGCGTTTGGTTGTTGATGTTCCGGACGGGAACGGGAAGCGGCTATATCCGCCTTCTCTTCGGACAGACTGGCAGGTGCTTGAACAGTAACCAGATGTTTCGCGGTACCAAGGCGCCACTTTCCAGCTCTCTCCATGGCTGCGCTCTCTCCCGCGCCTACACCCTCCAGCGCATCCCCCTTTCCCGCGCACCACCACCTCTCATACGCTCCCCCCTTCGACGTTTCGCGCTCAACACTACGTTGTCTTTATTTATTGTTTACACCGTGTTCTTTATTTATTGCCTTACGTTGTCATGGTCATATCTTCAAAGACGGGTGGCGGATATATCCGCTGCTTTTGTACTAATCCGCGGACGGGTATCGGATATATCCGCATAGTTAAAAACGAGTAAAAAATTATTTTTACAGTATGAAGTGTTCCATTGTGTTTATTTTATGTATACTTGTATAACAAAACACAAAAAATAAGGAAAATTAATTTTTATTTCCCCTGTAATTTTTTCACGTTCTATGTCACGATTTCGCTCGTCCGAGAAGGGTTGATAGAGTATGTCTGTCACTCAGGAGGTACCGTACAGTAGTATCAAATTGGAGTTTAATTCTAAAAATGACGAGGATTAGGATCTACACTATGAATTTCTAAAACATATAAAAACCATAAATATACTTTGAATATTTTTATTTATAAATATAAAACATTATTATAAACCATTTTATTATTATTTTTTCATAAATTTTGAATCCATGTTTTAACAAAATGCTGAATAAATGTGAATTTACAGAGAGGTGGGAGCAGTTACTTGATAATTTGTTATTTCTTTTTGGTAGGTATTTTAATCTATAACCCTTGTTTATTTGAAAAGTTACATAAATAGCAAATGAAATTAAATAACTTATCCCCACAGCAATACAGTGGTCTGACAGCACAAAATTTTCTCACTCAGTTAGTTAGTGCTGTCTTGTTTTCATTTTCTTACCAGGAAAATAATGTGGTTTATTTACTAAAAATCAACTCAGGAATTGGAATGGAGGTTCCAATTAAGCTTTGTGTGTGTAATAAGAAGTAGTTTCCAAAGAAGGAACCAGTAGGCTTAGCAACTTATCACTTCAAAGGAGGAACTGTTTCTTGCACTCATCCCCATTACATTCATACTTTCATATACATTCATACTTGGCTTTTACCAGTGGTGGAACCCATTAGGAATAGGAACTAGTCATTAGTTGTTGTTTGACAGTCTAGGAGCCAATTTTAGAAACTAGTCACTAGTTATTAGCCAGCAGCCCAGCAGGGGAACCACTATTAGCGAATAAAGTCACTCGTAGTTGCTAGTGAAGGAACCACCCCACTAGCAACTAGTCACCAGTTGTGTACAATTGGGAGAACCTCTATTAAGCAACTAGTCACTATAATAGGTTACCAGTGGAGGAACTAGGTACTATTAGCGACTAGTCACGTTGTTTGCCAGTGGAGGAACTAGTTACTATTAGCGACTATTTTTTTTTTTTTTTATGGGGAGGAGGTAAAAATGCATTTACGCACACTGAGGTGTCAATGGCCACTCAGTAGTGGCGGACTCCCGCGGGCTGATTGTCCCCGGACTACCGGCTAAAAAACCCCCTCGTCTCCTAGGACACTAGCCTGGAACTGTTTCGCACATTACTTCGGGCTAGGCCTTTTATACTACGCCCCTAGGGCTTTCCTTCTGGTTTCCTCAGAAAACTAAGGCCGATCGAGGTCGACCTTCTTATCCCGAAGTATGGCCTCAACGAACTGCTTTACACAGTTCCAGTTTCCTACCCCCTGGAGCATAGCTCCAACGATGTTGTCGGGAGTAATATCGACGCCGATCTCGGAGATCAAGGAGGCTCGGCGGACATGCCACCTGTCGCAGAAGAAGAAGGTATGCTCAGCCGTCTCTGCAATGCTAGGACAGTACATACAGTCTGGGCTGGCAGCCTTCCCCATTCTGTGCAAAAAGGCCTGAAAGTATCCGTGACCCGAAAAAAATTGAGTCAAGTAGTACCCAACCTCACCATGCTCCCGTTCCACCCATGGTCGGATGCTAGGAATGAGCCTGGCGGTCCAACGTCCCCGAGACTCGGCTTCCCATTCACGCTGCCAGCGGTCGAAACTGCGGTTGCGTTCTTCTCTGGCAGCAGTCTCTCTATTAGCGACTATAGTCACTATAGTTGTTTGGCAATGGAGATACCACTTTTAGTGACTAGTCTCTAGTTGAGGAACTACTAATTAGCAGAAAACAAACAGCTAAGACAAAAACCTCACTACCTGGGGTTCTTCAGTTTTTTACTTTCTCTCCCAATAGAGAAAGTACTGTTTTGTCAAAATGTTTGAGTTAGTTTTTATTGGATATCTGTTTTGGGTTCCCTCTGAACCCACAAAAGTGGTTTTTGAAGTGATATCTGTCTGTCTGTGTGTGTGGATGTGTACACAAGTTACAGACCACTCACACGTCCTGGTCCTGTAGTCCGATTTTAATGAAATTCGGTAGGTACTATTCCATGGTATCGCCAGTTTTTTCATTTTTTTTAATTTTGATTTTTAATGGTGATTTACCCATAAAAACCTCTTAAATACAGAAAGAATCAAATCTTTTAATAGCAGCTTAGTAGGTTTCAGTCTTTAAATTCTGAACCAAAAGGTACAACTACCATTGCTGTACAATACAATTCCGACCATATTTTAACGTATGTTATCTTCCCATGAAAACCCATAAAATACCGTAACGGAAAATCAGATTTTTGAAGTTGATGGAAGTTTCCATTTTAGACGTTCTTGGTAATGTTCCACAAGATTTTATACAAAAATCTGTTCATATTATTATTGACTATATATACCTTATGACGAAATTTCGGGTTGAGAGACAAAATTAGATTTTAAAGTACGTAATTGTCGTCTCACCTGAAATTCTGTCACACCTTAAATTTGTCCAGATAGCTTAGCCTACTATGAGATAGTCCAGGACTCTAACGTGTTCGTTAATTAATTATCGTTTCGAGTTTATTGGCTCAGAATTAAATACAACAATAATGCTTACAATGTTAAGCTTACCTTCAAAAAGTGCTCATCATAGCCACTCGAAAAATATGTGAAATTAAATTTAGAATTTTGAATAACCTATGATGAATGCGAATAACCTAATTAATTAGAAACTTAACTAAAACGAGACTCTGTCGTTATACTTGGTAATCACCAAAGTAAACGTGTCGGGAAAATTAGACTCGGTCGATCACCAGAGTCGGTACGGGGTTTCTTAAACCAAATTTACGTAGGACGGTCCGGGGTAACGGGGTAAGTCGTACGTAAACCGTTCCGGCAACTTAACTGATTTCCGAAGCTGGTTTAAGACAAAAGGTAGTGTGCTCGTACGTGAAAAAGCGTGCGGGGTGCGCGCGACTGCGGCACAGTAAAATAAAAATAATAAAACTTCTCCAAAAATGAGATTAAACAAAATAAATTCGGTAGCACACTAACCTGATGACTTATGATTCTACCAGGAACGGGGGAAATCTTTAATTGACCAGAATTTAGGAGGTTATAGACTGTTGGATTGTCTCCAAACAGCAAGCGTACTGACGGTTCGGTAGCGGGTGGACGACTGATCATGAGGTCCGCTCTTCTGGTCCTTCTTCGCCATCGCCCCTGGCGGCGGGGTAGGTAACTAGCGTCATCCCCTCTACGATGACGTAGGACCCTTGCCCCTACAATGCCGCTGACAACGCGGGCGCGGCTTACCCCGAACGTGGAAAATTATAATCCTTAAAATGAAACATTAAAAATCGGGTTTTTACCCCTTGACGGGTTTTGGGTCGTTACACCCCCTTCTTACTTCGCAGAGAAAAAAAAGAAAAACGGAAAAAGAAAAAAAATACCCGAACCTAGGGTATTGTCGGTGTCTGCTGCGACACTCTTGAGCAAGAAAATAACGAAATCGAAACTCTTCTTAAATTGGGTACGTCACCTCAATATATGTGCTCCATCGTCCGCAGCTTCTTCGTACGGACCCGGAAAAACGTACCATCTCCCCTGAACACCTT